TACCATGTTCAAATTGTCTTCGTTAGAGGAGAAATTGGGTGCCATCAAGCACAGGTTGCAAGAGCATAATAATGAACTGTATGATTGTAATCATGTACCTAAGCAGTGGGCAGGCGATGAAATTTCCTATATTACTCAGCATCTTGAAAAGCTTGAAACGCTTAACAAGAATCTCATTTGTCTAGTTCACTCTTCCATCACTAACACCTGGCGGCTTTTAAGTACCCGCTTCAATAAGGATACAGTTTCAGGAGAAGAAAGGAAGAGGATAACCAGGAGAAGAAAGGAGCAAAGGAGAAAAGCTCGCCAAAGACAAACGAACATGGGAAAGAAACAAGCTTACAAGCTTATATTGAAAATACATGGAAAAGAATTTGCTGATGCCTTTCTTATAAAAGGAAACACTCAAAAAGTTAGCACACAAAAACTGGGGAGTATACAGCTCCTACCCAGATTCTACATAAAAACCATCGAATACTTGATTGCTCAAGGCATAGTTGATGACATGGAAGAAGCAAAAAGACTTTTAGATATACTTCTGGCAAGAAGAGCAGCAGCCAAAAAGGCCACCACAGTAAAGTGTCAGGAGGAAAGGACCAGCCTGGAGTCTGAAAGTGAACTCTCAGATGGCTCTGAAGTGGATGACGAGATTACAGAGCCTGGAGATGATGAGTCTGACAGCTTTGAAATGGATGAAGATAGTGACTATTAAATATAACCTGTCACTCCTTAATCAGTTTTATTTAATATTGTCTTTAAATAGACCTAAACATTCAAAATACAGTATCACATATTAACTGGAAATAGGTAGTTAAAGTAGTTGGAAAAACAAGAGCCCCCCCTACGTAACCTCAAAAATTTTAAAGCTCCCCCTTGCTGCACTAAATTTTTTCTAATCCCCCCCCCTCAGAATCTTCACTCCCCCCCCTTGTCATATTAAATGAACATTCCCTTAATGTATACCATGATTCTCGAAATGAAATTTGTTTCCGCCGTTGTCTTTTTATATGCTTGTTATTTACGAGCTGACGTCAAACCACGCTCCGAGCAGATGAGTCATTGAGTCATCCGCTGCACAAACAAACTATCGATCTGGTAAGCACTGCTAATGACCCACATGACAATTGAGTCACCATCCCAAACAATCAATTTGATAAGCAATGTATAGGTGAACGTTTAATATTTTGACAAATAAAATGTCTTTTCGGCGAAAAGTTCATTCGTCAACGTGTCCGCGTTCAGCAAATGTCTTTCGGCAAAGTGTCTTTGGGTACCGGAATTTAACATTGCTTTTCTTCCCAAATTTTATTAACTCGAAACTCGACTTATTTGAATGAAACTTTTCAGATATTAACGAATGTACTGAAGGAAGTCATAGCTGTCATGGCAATGCTACATGTGAGGATAATGATGGTTCATTCAACTGTATCTGTAAACCTGGCTACTCTGGGAATGGGACTGATTGTGAAGGTCAGTAATTTTAAGCACTAGCTTATTTGAATATTTTATGTTTATTGTAGGACTGCACTATTTATATATTCGAAGCCTTGATGTAAATGTGACCTATAAGCAAGAGTGGGTAGTAGCGAAGTAGTTGTAGTTCGCTACTGTAGCCAACTACAATTTTCAAGTAGCCAGTAGTTTTTGACTATTTTTTTACAACAGTAGTTGTAGTTATAGCGAACTACATTTTGCCTAGAAGTAGCCAATTAAGAAGTTGACTACTTTTCAAACAGCGAATCGCTATTCGCTACTTTTTAAAATTGTTAGCAACCGTTCATAGAATAGAATGACATTAAGACACGGTTTGCTTAAAGGGTATTGGCAACAAAAATTGCTTCATCTATCTTATTGCTTCATCTGAAAGAGCATGAAAAAATAAGCCGATTGGCCGTTTAATGCTCTATTCTATCTCATCTAGTTCCGAAGTTATACGCAA